ACGCACCGCTGCGGCCATCAATGTTTTTCCTGCCCAGTCAAACATGCAGCGGCCTGTGTGGCCTTGTGCAGCGCATCCGCAATGGAGAGGCGATTCTGCGAGCGCAGTCTTGCAACAAGTAAAAGAATCATGCGCTTCGTGATCTATGTGCAGCACGTCTGCTGCTGACTTGTGCTGATAGTCAGACACGCCTCGTCGAACCCTGGGAGAAAATCACATTGGCATGCGGTGGCACGTGCCTCCATCTCTGCAACGATGATGTCTGATGCCATCCAGCCCTGCCATGGGTGGAATGAGGGACGTGACATCGCTTGCTCTGATGACATGTCTCGCAGAGTACTACACTTTCCGCGAACCTGTGGGCGCAGCTGCTCACCAAGGTGCCGGGCTTCTCTCTGATGCACTGCTGGCGCGAGGCCTTGCTGTAACAAAGCACCAGGCTTGCTTCCTTCAACTGTACAATGGGACCTGCCCAACGCACCAGGTATGACAACAATTATCCACGAAATCCAGCACACTTCAAGAGGCGCTGGGGCATGGGCGTGGGAGTCTGAGGTAATCTGCTGCCGCCGTGACCGAAGGCAGCTGTGGCGCTGACGAAGTTTGGAACCTTGCAGCCGAAACTCGAATGCTTGCATGCGTTCACTGCCTGCATCCAACCAACTTGAGATCTTCGAAACCTAGCTGGCTGATTGACATACTGCTTTGGCCAGTGTGTGACCGGAGAATCCCGTCTTTCAAATCTATACCGACTTTCTGCTGTGCAGCTGCAGACTTCACAGTTCACAGCCCACTCTTCAAATGACTTCGCTTTCTGAAGCCCAGGCAGATGGGATCGACCCGAGCGCCGGGGCTCCCGTCGGTCCCAGTGGAGCAGCGCTGGGTGCATCCTCCAGGTCTTTATTATTCGTCTTATTTGTATTAATAATTGTTAGTTGTTAGTACTATTACTAGTCTTGCTATTACTATTATTATCAGTAGTGTTATATGTCTTTAGTACTATTATTCTTATATCTCGTTGAAGCTGTGATGGCTATCCTGGTCCTGTTTGCAGACCAAGGGCGTGACTGGGGCAGTAGATTGCAGGTGGAAGTCAAGACAGCTTAGACATTTCCTGTGTGGCCTGTTGGGATATGAAGCCTGTGCCGCAGCTATGTCAGCTACGCTTGCTGCATGAGGGCCCGTAGTAGTAGCTTTGGACATTTGCCCATTGTGGTGTACAGCCGAGTCCTCACCGTCTCAATGAGCCAAAGCTTTCGGTTGATTTTATGCAGCACTGATCTTGTCGAGAAGGCATACAAGCAGCTCAGACATGCTCAGACCTTTTTGCCGCAAAACCTTGAGGACCCCATTGGTTTGGTTCAGCGTGGTGGACTCATGCCCACATACCCCAGTGCAGCTGACGATTGCTGATGCTGTACTTGCGTTGCGGCAGCAACCTCAGCTGCGACTGTTCTCATTATGATTCGGCGCACGTCTGTCTGCGCCCTGGCCTCAGGCAATATGCAAACAGTCTAAACTCCCTTGCGAAGGATTTCTGAATGGCCTTCATGCGCCTCCAACTGCTTGCTGATGTCTTTGGTGGAGGTTGTGTATGTGTTCCTCCACTGTATGGCGGGTAACGAAGCGCCAGACATGAACCTCGTGCCTCGTCTGACCAACGCGCCGAACCCGAGCAAGTGCTTGCTTTTCATATGCCACAGCCGTGCTCAATGTGTCAGCATTCACAGGGTGCACAAAGAAGACGTGATTGGCTGCAGTCAGATTCGTTCCTGAAGCAACATTGTCCAGGGAGAGCAAGAGTACAAAGCAGTCGGGGGCTGTGCAGAACGTTTTCATTATCGTGGCCATCTGTCGACCATTGTTCCTCCCACGCGGTAGTCGCACAGCAGGAAGTTGGTGAGTCTGCAGTGCTTGTGCCACTCTTTCCTCCAGGTCCTGCCATTGCACGAAGACAATAGCTTTAGCTTTAGGATCACTGGTTCGAATCTTTCTCAGGCACTCTGCGATGGCATGTAGCTTGGACCCGTGCTTTCGCAACTCTGGCGTAAGCTGTTCAGGCTTTGCCTCTGGCTCCGAGCCCTCTTGCAACTCAAGCAAGACGGAGGATATCGCGCCACCCGCTACTTGCTGGCGGCACTGTGGACAACGTCCCTGATGCTGCAAAGCACGGAATACACAAGATCTGTGGAAGACATGTGAGCACGGTAGCATTGCTAGATCTGCCATCTGCAGAACCCAAGCAGATGGAGCAAGTGTACCCGCCCAGCTCACCCGCACTTATTCCTCGAAGCTGCCAGGTGTAGAAGTCAAGGCTCCTGTAGGCTGAGTCCAAGAGACCTGCAAGTGTTTGGAAGCCACTTGCAAAAGCCTTCTTGAGATTCTGACTGCTGTTGCTGCCACATGTAGCAGCACACATTACAATTTCGGTGAGAATATCATCCGACCCAGCAGTTGGCTTCGCACGCACAGCAGCATGCAGCACAACATGACGATCTGCTGGTCTGGTATAAATTTCTGTTTCGCGCACAGGCTGCTCCAGCCGTACTTCTGGACGCAAGCGCATCTCACCATACTGATCTAGGATTTCAAGATGCGTGTTGAGGCATTGTCGACTTGCATCTTTGGACTTCCAATGTTCTGCAGTGCATTGTGAGATCCCTGACACGAATTCCTTGGCCTCAGAATGTTGCAGGCTCACGGCCAAGCCTCTCTGTGCATCTGGCCAGCATGACCTCAATGGACAAGGTTCTCATATCTGTTTGAGGAAGCAACATACAAACCTCTCACAAACTGCCCCTGCTGCCGAAGGACAGGAAAGCGGCACGGGAGGATTCGAGTTCCAGCTGCTGGCGCAACGCCTGGATTCGGGCACGCTTGCTGGCACCAAGCAAGCGTACGGCTGCTGTCGCATCCTCGCCAAGAGCACATGATTTGAGTACCAGTTGCATGATGCACTGCGTCCTTCCCTCAACTCAAGTCCTCTACATTCATATGAAGGCAGAAATGTGCACAGCGCTGCAGGAGTTGCATTCTCACCTCTGCGCTGGCCTCCCCGTAGCCAGCCTGAAAGCTCTGACGTTCATACAACAGAGTCGGGATAGGCAAGGACACTGAAAAAGCAGGTGCTTAGGTCGATATCTGTGAAGAGGGGTCAGATGTAGCAGACAATGTGTAGAAATGCTTTTGCGACCCTGCCAGTCGCCTCCAGATCAAAGACGCCGTGGTCGTGACAAGCTTGTCAGTAGATGAGTCGCTCTTCTGTTGTATGATCCACAAACTCCTGATGTTCTCTGACAGCAATGGCCTCGACGAGGCTGGAAGAATTCTGACGCACAAAGCTGTGGATCATGGCCTGGCATTCCTGATGCAGCTTTTGCTGCATTGCCTCCGTCTTCAGGCTCTTTGAGTGACGGCATCCCAAGGCCAAAGCCATGGTCGGAGCATCCTCTTGGCTGACATAGTTCAGCAGCTCAGCAACTTCCAGGATGGAGTCCACATTACTCAAAGGCGGTGCGCCAGACAGACCCCAGCGGTAGGTGGCTCCAATTGACTTTAGGACCTCGCGTGTGGACCTCTTCCACGATTCCGTCTCATGAAACTCATCAAGCACCATTCGCCGCCACCAAAAGGCCTCAAACAGAACAGGTGCAGAGCGAGATGCCGCTTCCAGCATACTTCCGCTTTCGTGCCACTTCTCAATGCACTCGTGGAGGGCCGCCTGCTTGGCAGCCATTTTCTCTCCCCAGGCTCCGCTTTCAGGCTGCCAAATCTTCAGCGTGTCCTTCACGTCTTCAACATGCTTCAATGAGCCAAGTAAGCCAGTGGACGCGATGACCACGTTGAAGTTTTCAAATAAGCATCCCAATCTAAGCCTCTTCACATCAGTGGTGGACTCAGCTGTTAGGATTCTGAAGCCTCCTGTTCCCTTGACTGCCTCTGTGCGGGGCCGGCTTGGCTTGTCACGAATGACACTGACATACAGTGTACGGCCCCGCTTGCACAGCCGACTCAGCATCTGCTGTGGGTTGCCATTATCGAAACAATATGACCCGGCGCAGCATGAGTATGAGTATCTAAGCTGCTGCTCTCCCTGTCCCCCTTCAATCCGCAATCGCTCGATCTTGTCTCCAACTTGCAGTCTTCTCTGAGGCTTCAGTTTTTGGTTGAAAAAAAAACGAAAAAATCGGTCCGTGAAGCGGAAAAACGGCGAAAAGATCGAACACCTGGACTATGTTTGCTTCATTTTATGTTTTTTCGTTCAAAAATAGTTTTTGACCCACTTATGTAAAGCAGGCGGCTACCTAGAGCGTTTCTAGAATCTTGCTACGTGAATATTCGACGGCGACGACGGCCTATGGGCGGGGGTCCTCCACTAGATTCCAGGACGTCCGCGGGCCCTGGAAGCCTGAAGCCCTGGGAGGCCCCGCAGGGGGCGCTCATCCGAAGGCTTTCTGAGGGAAGCTGCTTGTCCGAAGGCTTTCTGGAAACATTTCGGAGGAGACTTTCGGAGGGGAGCTGCTTCTCCGAAGGCT